CCAGGGTCACAAGCTATATCCACAGCCTTCTCTCCTGGGCCTCTGCCCAGTTAGAGGAGATGAGGAGGAAGAGGAGAGAGGGGTAAGATTACCAAGAAGAGGAGGAGGTGGCCTGGTGGGGCAGTGGCCAGGAGTCCTTGGTCCTAGGCCCAGCCCTGCCCTTTACTCACTGTGTAGCCTGGGCATGTCTCTGCCCTCTCGCTTCTCAGTTTCCCCATCCGTCGCATGAGGGATTGGACTCTGCTGGCTCTAGAAACTTACTTTGCCTGATTCATATCCCTGAAGATGACCTCAACCTTAGGCAGAAGGCACTTCCAAGTGTCCGGTGGACTTCCCTCTCCTTTTCCTTTTCTCTGCCCATCCCAAATCTGCCCATTCTTGGGCCAGTTCAGCACCTCCCCTCCCTGAACTTGCCATCTGTTCCACCATTTTATCCCCCTGCCTAGCAGGAACAGGGATCTCACTGCTCCCATCTGGGGTCACCTCTTCCCTCATAGGGCAGCTCTGGTTGATCTGGAACCTGAAGCAGGCCTCAACCATAGGTTCTGGGTCCCTAAAGCCACCTTCCTGTGGTGTTGAAGCTGCGTCACCGTAGAGCTGTTCTGGAGGCTGTTCCTTTGTTAGCAAAAGCCTTGTCACCCATGGTGTGATGGGTTCCGTGCTTAGTGTAGGAATGCACGGAACTATGCCAGGCCCTTGCCAAGGACATGTTGTTCCTCCAGTCATTGTCCTCGAGCCACAGTAGCAGCTTCCTGGCTGAGGAGGAGGTGCAGAAGCACTGTGAGATGGCTCCCTGAGCTTCCCACTAGCCGCTCACCCTCCACTTGGCTTCTGTTGCCAAGACCCAGATGTGGGCCCATCCTGGCCCCTAGCCAAAGGATGTCACCCAGGGGTTTTTAAGCCAACCCTCCATGAAATCCATGCTCTGCCAATTACCAGCCTTTTCCCCTCTCCTCCCCCCCGCACCCCGGGAGCTGAGGGCTATTTCTCACTCTATGGCCTCAGTCAGCCCCTAGATGGAGGGAAATTTCCACAGAGCAGGTCAGTGAGCGTCCCCCTCCCAACCCCCCATCACCTGTGTCCTCACATCCACCTGTGTCCTCAAACCCCTTAGGGCTTGCTCCACTCCAGTGTGATCCTGGACTAAGCTCTGAAGTGTGCTGTCTCATTTCCACACTCAACTGTGTCTCCTTTCCTGCTTTTCTCCATCAATAGTTCTCACTTGTACCTGGTGAGGCTGCTCAAAGGCTGAGGTGAATAGGACTTTGGTCTGTCCTTGAGGAAAATGTGATCCAGTAAAACAGATGATCCAGAGCAGAGGGATGAGGTGGTGGGACAGATGGCAAGTTAAGGAAGGGAGAGGCAGCCAAAGGCTGCTCAGCCCAGAATCCAGTGGTCCCCTCCTGTCTACCCTGTTCCCTGTGTGTGTGTGGGGGGGGGCAGGGTGTGTGCTGAACTGGCCCAAGGAGAATGGGCCAGCATTTGGGATTGGCAGAGAAGAGAAAGAGGAGAAGGAAAGTCAACTTGGGAGGGCAAACAAACTGTACCAAGTCGAGGAGGAAAGGACTGGCATGTGCTTAGGGACCAGACCCTGCTCCATGTTGAGCAGAGGATGGAGCGGTCAGTCAGGGCCCATCATGAGAGGCTGAGGAGCTTGGGCTTTATCCTGAGGGAACTAGGAAGCCATGTAAGGGTTTTAAGGAGGAGTTACATGATGAGCTAGATGTCTTAGAAAGCAGGCACTAGGTGCAGGGTGGAGGTGGAATAGAGGGGTTGAACTGGGATGGGAGCGTAGGTGTGAGGCGGGAGGAAGCTCAGGGGATGAAGGGAGTAGATAGATAGACGTGCAAAAATTAGAGGGAGAATTGACGGGCCTTCAGGACAGATTTGAAACAGGAAGTGGAGAGGGAAGAGGCAGTGACTTTGAAATTTCCAGACTGAGGATTAGAAGTTTGCTGATGCCTTTGATAGAGACAAAAGACATGAGGGATGTTGAATATTTGAGTGTGAGGGGCCTGTGGGATATCTCCAGAGGAGATGTCCAGGAGGCAGCCTGTACCAGACATCTGGAGCTCCAGAGAGGGCTGGGCCGCAGGGGCACTCGCAGTTGTTGGTGTGTTGACGAAGGGCTCCATGCTCCGTGAAGGTGGGGTGGGGAATGAAGAGAGGGGGCTGAGTGCTCCTCACAGGAGCACCAATATTGAGGGGATGAAGATAGGAGGAGGCAGTGAGCAAGACAGGAGGGGCCGTCTGGAAGGTGGGAGGAAAACAGCCGCGCAGGAGGGAGCGGGGGAGGGCGCTGAGAAGAAGCCACTTTCTTTGGTCATGAGGAGGTAGGCTGGAGCCTGAGGAGCCTTCGGTCCTCTAGAGGTGGTGGGCGCAGGGTGGAGGCTGGATCCCAGAGGCTGCATTCTCCCGTCGCTTTGGGTAGCCACCCGCCTCCCAGGAGCATCCTGCTTCCTCCCACATCCCTCCAGCTCCCCAACTAGTAAAAATGAAACTGCCTGCTGACCAGCTGCGGGACGGCGAGCCAAGTTGGGCATGTGAACGGGCTATGCACGGATCAGCACCATGGAGAGCTGCTGGAGGGGGGGGGCGGGGCCTGCAGCAGAACCCGGCTTCGCTGTTTTCACACAGGGCCTGTGTCATCTGGCACTGTCTGGCCTTGCAGGCGGATTAGAGGTGAAAGAGGGAAGAGCAGGCCTGGACAATCTCTAGTCTTCTCTCCTTTCTGCACCTTCCCCCGCCCAGCGCTACTCTACAGGAGCCCCTACCCAACATTTGGGGCTGCTACTTCCTTGGCCCCATCAGTTCTACCTCTTCAGGGGAGAGGAGGGGAAGGGAGGAACAGGCTATTTACTGGGAACCTTAACAGACATTCCCCAAACCTCCCAACTCTTTGAGCTTGAAATTTGTGACCCCCATCTTTCAGATGAGAAAACTAAATTGAAGTTCAGAGAGGTTAAATAACTTACCCAGGGCACATGGCGGAGCTGGGATTTGAACTTCCACCTGCCTGGCTCTAAGTCCTGGAGTACGCAGTAGTCCTGGATCTTGCACCTTGTTTCTGCAGACACCTTACTTCTGGAGCAACTGTAGAATCTGGTGTGACCTCTCTTACCTGACTTGCTTGAGTATATTCCCAAGACATTTCTGAGGATGAGGCCTCCACCCTTGTTTCCTGAGTGGGAGGGCAGAAAGGAAGCTGAGGGCCAGGTGAGGCCTCACCTGCCCCCCCTCATACCCAGGAGGTGTCCTCCTTTGAACTCTTCTGACCCAGGCTCCTTAGGGTGTGAAGGGGAGCTGTGAGGGCCAGGAATGGACATGGTCCAGGGCCTCAGCTTTCTGAGCCTGCGGAATGCCTTCCCAGCCAGTAGGCACAGAGTAGTGAGGTCCTAGGGATGGGTCAGGTTGAGAAAACAGTTTGCCCAGGGCTTTCAGAGATAGCAAAGCTCCCTCACATTTTCTTTCCTGACACTCCCTAAACCATGAGACATCTGCTTTCTATAACACTCAGCCTGGACAGGCCTCCTGCACAAGCTTGGTCATTTCTGTCTATCCTCCCACCACTGTATACCCTCATGCCCTTCAGCAGGGGTCAGGTTTCCACTCAGTCTCATGGGCTTTTTGGTCTGGAGCCTGTTGTGTGCAGTGGGGGGTTATCACCCCCACAACTCAGTGAGGTGGGGTTACTGGTGAGGGTTACATGTAGCTTCTCTAGCCTGGAATACACCTTCTCCTGGGGTCCCCTTCTTGCCTTTAAAGACCCAGCTGATACCTCTCTTCCAGAAATGCTCGCCAACCTCTGACTAGGTCAGGGACCCCCTCAGGGCACCACAGCCCCCATGCTTTCCTCTGTCACACTGTAAGTTCCTCCTCCCCTTGCCTGGCCTTGTTCCAAGGCAAGGAACAGTCTGTCATGTAAGATGAGGTTGGCCAGCGGTAGATGTCTGTGAATGAATGAATAAGTTAGTGGTGGAGCCAGGACTGAAACCCCAATCTCCTACCTCAAGGTGTGGAGTTTTCTCTACCGTGCCCAGCAGGAGCTCTGCTGAGACAACTCCTTACCTGTCCCATTGTCTAAACTGCCCCCATGTCATTGGGTTAAGGCATCCAACTCAAGAGTCCTTTCTGGGGGCAGGGCAGAGGTGCAGGAGGCCTTCCCTCATGGCTGTAACCTATTGATGGTGGAAGCCATGTGGGAATGCTGTGACCTGGGTGTCCATAAATCCTAGTAGAAGTCCATACTCAATTATCAGCTCCCACAGTGTCCCAGCTAAGCAGGGCACCAAGAGGTGGACTCTGTGACAAGGTTCTGAGTCCAGAGACCCTCAGTGAAAGCCTTCTGAGCCTCTTGTGTACCCAACTCCATGCTGAGAATGCACATAAGGACATGATACAGACCCAGTAAGGGAGCCCAGAGGAGTTCTGCCTGGAGGCCTGGCTCTTCCATACTTGGCACAGGAATGTTCCCCTGCCTGAGGCCCTCTGTGATGGGATAGCAGAGGGTCTGGGTCCCACCCACCTGCCCTTCACCCCAGATCCCATGGTAGCCCATGAGCATTGCAAATCCCTCATCCTCACACCTCTCTTTGGGCTCCTCTCTCAGCTACTTTCTCTCTCCTCTCTCCCTTCCTCCCTCCCCGCCTTCTTTCTCTCCATTTCTGTCTCTGCTTTTTTTTTCCCCCTTTTCTGTCTTTGTTCCTCTGTGCGTGTGTTTTTCCCTATGCCTCTCTGATCTCTTTGTATTTCCATCTTGATCTCTATGGAGTTTTGATCCCTTTCTCCTCTCCTTCATGCATTTCTCTCTCCTGTCTCTTTTCTCTCTCTCAGTCTCTCCCTCTGTGTGTGAGTCCTTCTTTTCCTCTTCCAGCCAGTCTCTCTCTACCCCTCCCTCCCTCTCTCCCTCTCCCGTCTGGGCCTCTCTGTTCCTCCTCCCTTCCCCCTCCCCCTTCTGCATTATCAGACTTGCTCCAACCTCCTCCCAGAGTCAGCCTAGCGGCAGAGGCAGTGGCAGCAGGAGAGGCGGGAGCAGCAGGGAGCAGCAGGGGCAGCAGGACTGGATTGGGGTGTTGAGTCCAGGCTGAGTCCCGGACAGGCTGCTGCTCTTGGTCCCGGTGCCTGCTGGGCCAGGCGCCCTGCCTGGAACCCCAGGCAGGGTGGAGAGGGCGAGGTGCCTCCTTAGTCTGGCTGAGGAGGCAGACGATGAGGAGCGATGGGTCAGGCATGCGGCCACTCCATCCTCTGCAGGAGCCAGCAGTACCCGGCAGCGCGACCGGCTGAGCCGTGAGTACTATCGAGGGTCTGGGGTCTGGGTGAGTGCCTACAAGAGGTGTCATGGACAGGGTCCTCAGAGTCCCTCCAAGGAGCTGGGTTTGGCGTGCTGAGCCACGTGGGAGGATCGATCCTGCTCTTGGGTGCCTGGCTGCCAGACTGTAGTATGGGGGGGAGGGTGCCTGGTATCAATCTAGGGGGTGATGGGGCTGGGGTCCCACAGAAGCGACTGGTGGCTGGGGGAAGGATTGCTAATAAACCTGAATCATTTCTCAGAGGCTGGGGGTTGGGGGTGGTCTGTGGTGTGTGTGTGTGTGTGGTGTGTTCCAAGGAGCTCTGGGGGCTGATATAGATTGATTCAGGACCTTGGAGAGGGACGACATCCAGACCACCAGGGCTTGTGTGCGCAGGGGGTGTGGAGTAGAGAGAGGGAGGGACCTGGAGCAGGAGAGGGTCTGGGGCAACTGCGGTCCATGGAACTGGGATTCAGAGTCGCCAGTTTAGGCAACTTTACCCCAAAGCACCTGTCCCAGGGAGCGCCAGCGTTCATTGGAATGAGGCCCCTGTGCACCAGCCTCCTGTGTGCCCACATGCACAGGGATGCATGTACAGGTAAGTGGAGTGAGGTTCCATGGAGGTGCCCCTCCACCGTCTGAGGGTTGCCGAGGTGGCAGGCAAATGACATGTGCGTCTCCAAATCAGTGGAAGTGCAGGTCTACGCCAGGTTACCTGAAGGTATGTATATGTGTGGACACGTGTGGGGTGCAAGGGGACAGGTGGGGCACAGAGGGGCCTGCAGAGTTCTGGGGTCCTTGGTGGTTGGATGTGCAGCAGCCTGTTAGGGTGTCTGAGCTTAACGGTGTAACTGTGAAAGTTTATCTACACATGTCTGACTGCAGGCTGGTGTGTGTGTTTGAATTTGTATGTTTGCATGCATGTTAATGTGTGCTGTGTCTACAAAATAGTGGCTCAATATTGAGCATGTTTGATTCCATGTGCATTCGTGTTTTTGTGTCTATTTGTTAGTGTGTGAATATCAGTGTTGCTGTGTGTGTGTGTGTGTGTGTGTGTGTGGATGTGAATGTTTGTGTTAGCATAAATATCCTGGTGTGGGTGTGTGATCATGGTGTTAGTGTACATGAATATGTATATTGGTACTTGTGTGGCTGGTATGAATGTTGTGTGTCTATATATGTGTGTTCATCTGAGTGTGCGTGGGTAGCTGTTTTCTTTTCCTGGTGGTTGAGGACACAGCTCAGACACTGTGGCCCACTGAGGCAGGGTTGGGGTGGCTAAATGTGTGACCACCTCCATGAGCCCAGGACAATCATTCTATACCCTGTGAGGAGATGCAGAAAAGAAATGGGCAAGAAAGGCTCCGCCTTCTGGGGCCTTCTAAGCTTCCTAGACATAAACGAGCTTGAGAATAATTAAGCAGTGAAGACCAGGATCAAGCTAACAGGTGTGGGGGTAGGGTGGGGTGGGTACAGCATGAGCAAAGGCCCTGGGTTGGAATCTGACATGTGCCTGGAGCAGGGAGGAGGCTGGAGGGTAGGCAGGAGTCATATCCTGCAGGACTTTGAATTCCAGGCCTCGTGGGCTTTATCCTGAGGTCCCTGGGGAACCCAGAAAGGTATTCTGCAGTGGAGGGGCATAATCAAATTCGGGTTCTAGAAAGCTGCCTTAGTAGCACTGTGAGGGCTGAGCTGGAGGAGAGAGATGGGGGCCAGGAGGCTAGTGTGGAGGCCAGGCCAAGGAGGCCATCAGTGAGGTCTGGGGCCAAGTGGGCCAAGGGGCAGATGAGACCAGGGGCTCTTTTTTTTTT